TATCGATGTCTAAAAATAAGTCTACACTTACTTCAAAAACCAATACCTTTTTCAACTCAATTTATCTATTTTTCCATTTATATACATTCATACATCACTTAACCAATAGGAATTCATTCTGAAAAATGAATCATTAGACTATTTTGTTTATAAACACTGTGTGAAGGCTGGCATATGTGAGATACCCAGTGGTGAGCTCCTGCCTAGCATGCACAAGGCCCTACATTCAATCCTCAGTACAGAAAAAAATCAATGTAAACAGTGCATAAACATCAAAGAATGCACATAAGACAGCCATGATGTCACTAGGCTGATACAATCTTATAAGACTGCTGTTCTATATACAGTCTGTCATTGACATTCAAGGGTACTTAATTACTATTCTTGAAACTTTTCTGTAAGTTTCAAGTTATTTCAACATAAAAGTTTACAACTTGGTATGGTTAAGAACACAAGCCTTGGTCTAAACTAAGCAAGTTTACATTGCAGCTATAAAAGAGACACAAAATAAAAAGTAAGTTTTAAGATCTCTGTGTCTCAGTTTTCTCAGCTGTTATCTATGTTTCCTCAACAGATATTAGTTCATAGGATCTGAAGAAACAGTAAATTAATTAATATATATAAAGCACTTGGAATTGGGACTGGCCCATTCAAAGCACTCAGTTCAGCAGCGACTTTCTAAAACTGTTTAGAACTTATTTAAGTATTATCTAAAAACTATGTCAGCATTTTGGTCAAAGGGAATCAAAGAACTTGAGATAAAAACTTCAGAAGTCAGGGTTTCATTGTTATTCACTAAGTGCATAGCTTGTATGCACCAACAGCAGAGCAGATGAAAACTACTGGGAATTCAAAGATAACATCATTAAAAATACATAAGGACCGAAGTTTTTCATTCATATTTTTTCAGCATATACAGCTCAAGTATACCAAAAAGAATGCATAAAATGCAGTTAATAAAATTAAAAACAATAATGAAATATTTATTGACTAGAGACTATATATTTTTATATTCATAGAACATGAACAAAAATCTATCATGTATTTTTCCACACAGAAATCATAAACTTATTCAAAATACTGCATCCAAAGTTCTTGATCATAATTTAACAAAATCAGAAATAAAAATAAAAGAAAAAATATTATTATACTTGGTGATTAAGAACTCATTGATAATCCACAGATTAAAAGAAATCAAGATAATAAATTATTTCAATGCTATAGATAGAACAGTTCAACCCAAAATGATAGGATGCAATAAAAAGTTAAACTAAGAAGAAATATTGCAGCCTTCCTTCTCTTTATCATTAAAGAAGGAACTAGAAACTTTAACAAAGGAACTTAGTTATTATAAAAAGATCAGATTTGCTGGAGGTAGGCACATGCCTGAAATACCAATTGCTTGGGAGGCAGGAGGATCTTGAGTTTGAGGCCAGCCTGGGCAACTTAGTGAGACCCAGTTTCAAAATAAAAAGGGATGGGGATATAGCTCATTGGTGAAGCACCTCATGTTCAGGCCCCAAAACCACCACCAAAAAAAGAAAAAGTTGGATGGCTTAAACAACAGACATTTATTTCTCACAGTGCTGGAGGCTGGAAAATCTGATTGGGGTACCAGTATGGTCCAGGTCCTAGTGAGAGCTGTCTTTCTAGTTTGCAGATGAAGTCTTCTTGCATTATGGAAGAGAGAAAGAGAGGGACAGGGTAAAGAGATACATATTTTATGTCTCTTATTTTAAGGGCACTAATTCCATCATGAGGGCTCCATGCTCACGACCTAACTATCTCACAAAAGCCCCATGTCCAAATGCTATCACATTGGGAGTTGGGGTTCCAACTTATGAGTGTGATAAGGGAGGATCAAAATTCAGACCACAGCAATACCTGAAGTTCAAATCTTAAATGATGCTGGGAAAACTGTACATCCTATAAATTAAAAATAAAAATATGCCCTATCTCTTGCCATATACAAAAAGCAATTCAAAATGAATTAAAGACTTAAATATAAGATCCAAAATTATAAAACTACTACTAGATGAAAACAGGGGAAATGTTTCACAAAATTGGTCTGGACAAAGATTTTCTGAATAAGATTTCAAAAGCACAAACAGAGGCAAAAATAGACAAATAGGATTACATCAAACTGAAAAGCTTCTGTACATCAAAGGAAACAACAGAGTGAAGAAATAACCTATAGAATGAGAAACAATATTTGCAAATGGTGCATCTAACAAAAGGAGTTAATATCCAGAGTATATAAGGAAACTAAGCAACTCCAAAAAAAGAATCCAGTCAAAATTCCCAAATAACATTTGTGAAAAGAAGATGTACAAATGAACAATAAGTACATGAAAAAAAGCCCAAGATCACTAACTGGAGAACAGCAAATCACAACAGATGTAACCTCACCTCAATAAGAATGGCTATTATCAAAAAGACAAAAAGTAACAAATGTTGGTATGTATATGGGGGGAAGGCTACTCCTATACACTAGGTGGAAATGTAATTACTAGAGCCATTATGGAAAACAGTATGGAGGCTCTGCAAAAAAACTAAAATTAGAATTATCATGTGATCCAGCAATACCACCACTACCTATTATAACCAAAGGAAAGGAAATCTGTATGTTGGAAAGTTATCTGTACTCCCAGGTTCACTGCAGTACTATTCATAATAGCCAAAATATGGAAGTAATAAAAGAGTCCATCATTAGATGAATGGATAAAGAAAATGGTGTGTGTGTGTGTGTGTGTGTGTGTGTTTCTTGGGATACTGTTCAGCCATTAAAAAAAAAGAACAAAATTGTGTAATTTGCAGCAACATGAATGAACGTGGAAATCATGGTAAATAAGCAATATAAGCCAGGCACAGAGAGAAAATACCACATGATCACACTCCTCTATGGAATCTAAAAACAGCTGAACTCATAGAAGCAGACAGTAAAGTAGTGGTCACCAGAGACTGGGGAAGAAAAGAGAGATGGAAGGAGGGAGAAGAGATGTCAATGAATAAATTTACAGTTAGCAGAAATACATTCTGGTCTTTATTGCACAATAATCAACAATAATGAATGGTATATTTCAAAATAGCTATAACAATGATTTGAATGTTCTCACCACAAAGAAATAAAATAACAAATGTTTGAGGTAAAGGATATGCTAAATACCTTGGTTTAAATATTACACAATGTATACATGTATCAATACATCACATGTAATACATAAATATGTACAATTATTTTGTGCCAATTAAAAATAAAACTAAAAATTAAAAATAAAACTGACCAAGATAGAAATTAATAATAAGCCAATCCCAAAAAACCAAAGGCTAACTGTTCTGTCTGATATACAAATGTTAACAACAAAGGGTATGGGGAGAAGAGAAGTTCAGTGGATTAAATGAAGGGGAATGAAGGGAAGGGAGGGGAGAATAACAACAGGAAAGACAGTGGAATGAATCAGGCATAACTTTCCTACATTCATATATGAATATACCATCAGTGTAATTCCCATCATGTTCAACCACAAGAACAGAATCCTAATTAGAAAAAGTTATACTCCATGTGTATATAATATGTCAAAATACTCTCTACCGTCATATATATCTAAAAGGAACAAATAAAAAAAGAAAAAAATTAATGAAATGAAAATAAAGTAGCCATTATAAACTATCTAAAATCTTACTTTTTATTTTACTTTTTAATTGTAGATGAACATAATAACTTTATTTTATTTATTTATTTATTTGGTGCTGAGGATGGAACCCAGTGCCTCACATGTGCTAGGCAAGAGCTCTAACACTGAGCCACAACCCCAGCCGAAATCTTACACTTTTTAAAACTCAAAAAATAAAGAAACCTCTCCTAACTCTTCATGGAAAAATTATTCGTATGTGTGTGCACACAAGTGTATGTGTGTGTGATTAAAAACAAAAAACAGATTCCAGAGAAATTAAAATAATTATTTAAGAATATATGTTAGTATACAGCAACTAATGTACTAACTTAGAAGAAAAACAGAATTCCTTAGAGAAATATAAAAGTTATTAAGAAAACAGATCCAAATACAAGTAAAAAGCTTGAATAATTACCACAAAAAAGTATGAGCTCAAAAGAGTTCATTCCAAGAACAATTGAATGGCTCAATATTAGAAAATATATCATCATAAATAATTACATCAAAAAATTAAAGAATAAACCATGTGATTATAATAATGAGTAACAAAAAGTATTTTGTTAAAAAATTTAGTCACTCCTGGGCTGCTGTTATGGCTCAGTGGTAGAGTGCTTGCCTAGCACATGTGAAGCACTGGGTTCAATCCTCAGCAGCACAAAAAAATAAATAAAATAAAAGTATAAAAAAATACAATAGCACTATTAAAAAATTCAATCATTCCTAATGAGAACCAGGTAATTTAGTGAGTAAATTAAAGTATTTAAGTATAATCTTAATGAAAAACATTATATATACATAAAAATAATCCTGGAATACTTCTCTGATTAAATGTCTAAGAGACTTTTTTTTTTCCCCTAGTAATGAGGATCAAATCTAGGGTCTCATGCATGCTAGCCAAGCACTAGGCCACTAACCTTTATCCCTAACCCTTTTTGTTTAGAAACAGCGTCTCACTAAACTGCCAGGCTGGCCTCAAACTTGCAATCCTCCTATCTCAGCAGCCCAAATTGCTGGGATTACAGGTATGTGTCATTATACGAGACTCTTAATATACAAATGCCTATATTCCTATATGACTATAGGAATTGAAAAGGGATGACAAATTTGGAATCATATATATGTATATATACATGCATATATACACACACATAAACGTATTCAAATACACATAGCACATGTAATCAATTCTACCACTTTCCTCTAGATTAACACATATAAATGCCACTAAATTAATATATTAAAATGTATGTATTGCTTCACAGAAAATATAAATAATATACATAATTATACATTTGTATTTATTTTCTGTCAAAACACTAGTTTTACCTGTTTAGGAAGTCGGAACAAGGAATTTTTATAGAAAATATCCTTAGCCTGGCTCCATGTACCATCAATGATGATGATTGTAGAAGGATAAACAGGAGAATCTAATATAAATTCTTCCAAATCTGTAGCTTCAGCCCCTGGATATAATATTAATGTACTAGACTTCCGGCAGACAGTTGAAAGTTCAACATCTCTAAAAAACAATATATTTAAATTATCTTTATTAGCTGTGGGGAAAACAAAAGTTTTATGATATATATTGAATTCCTAATAAAAGTTCCTCTCTACCTAGTTATTTATCTAATCAAATAAAAATACTAATTAGTTCATAAAATATAGGTTAAGTGTCTCACAATTTTGTGTACTCTACTGATTCGTTAGCCACAATTCTACCAGCCTCCCAATCTTCACTACTCTTCTCCATCTAGACTTTTCTATCCAATTGCCAAGGGCATAATTTTAACCCTCCCAAAGAAAGATCTGTGTAGAAAAGAAACATCTTAAATTGCCCTAAAATTCATTTACCTTTCTTCACTAAAGCGACGACCAATCTTTACTTTACACTTGTCCTGGGGGAGGCATGCTGCTAGGAGAGGAACTGTCCGCAACACTTTGTTTTCCTTTAATGAAAAAAATTAATGGAGACATAGATTTTTTTACTTAAACACACTTTTAAAACATTTATAATGAGGCAGGGGCTGAGGCTAGAGCTCAATGGTAGAAAACTTGCTTAGTATGCATAAGGCCCTGGTTTCTATTCCCAGTACTACAAAAAAAAAACTATGGTCTGGATTGTAGCTCCATGGTAGAGTGCTTACCTAACACACATGAGGCCCTGGGTTTGAGCTCAGTACCACATAAGAATAAATAAATAAAAATAAAGGTAATATGTCCATCTATAACTAAAATAACAAAAAAAGTTTTTTTAATTATGAACATTTGATTTATAACTTTACATATAATTCTCATAAATCTTTTACTACAGACCACAGTTTAATAAGAGGTAAAAATTTCTCTGATATATCAGCACTTAGCATAATATAAGTGTATCTTTTTAATGTATGTAGATATGTTTTTATTCTATGTAGATATGTTCATAGGTTTACTTATCCAATAAAATAATATCAATCTATATAATAGGATTATGAAAAACATAAATTTGTGTTTAGATAAACTGAATTTTTTTTTGGCAAGGATTTAATTTCAATAATAACTACATTCTGTACTATATCAGCTTGAACATAACTGCCCAGATCTTTATGACTGGACAGCAAGAAAATACTCAAAAAACAAAACAATGGGGCATACCAAATGGTCACAGAAGCCCATCTTAAAGAGTTCCAGATGCTCTGACTGAAAATTGGTGCAGCCAATATAGAAAGCAGTATGGAGATTTCTTGGACAATTGGGAATGGAACCACCATTTGACCCAGCTATCCGTCTCCTTGGTCTATACACAAAGGACTTAAAAACAACATACTACAGGGACATAGCCACATCAATGTTTATAGCAGCACAATTCACAACAGCTAAACTGTGGAACCAACTTAGATGCCCTTAAATTAGATGAATGGATAAAAAAATGTGGCATATATACACAATGGAATATTACTCAGCAATAAAAGAGAATAAAATCATGGCATTTGCAGGTAAATGGATGGAGTTAGAGAAGATAATGCTAAGTGAAGTTAGCCAAGTCCAAAACACCAAATGCCGAATGTTTTCTTTGATATAAGGAGACTGATTCATAGTGGAATAGGGAGAGGGAGCATGGGAGAAATAGACAAACTCTAGATAGGGCAGAGGGGTTGGAGGGGAAGGGAGAGGGCATGGGGTTAAAAATGATGGTGGAATGTGATGATCATTATTATCCAAAGTACATGTATGAAGACACAAATTGGTGTGAATATACTTTGTATACAACTAGAGGCATGAAAAAAATGTGCTCTATATGTATAATAAGAATTATGATGCATTCCACTGTCATATATAAATAAAAAAGTTTAAAAAAAAGAGCTCCTGATGCTCAAATGGAACAATTTGAAAAAATAAATAAATAACATAGTATTCGACTATAAAGCAAAGTGTAATATGGACTAGAATGATATAAATGATTGAATAAATAAGTAAATAGGGGAGAAAAAAACAAATCTTCCTTACAGTACAATTCCAAATAATAAATGTAAATACTCCCCACTCCAAAAAGTGAAGCTGTCTCCCTCCCATTTCAATGTGGACTAGAATTATAGCCTTGCTTCCAAAGAATAGAGAGAATGGAAACAGAACCAAATAACTTTGAAGAGGAGAAATCTAGTGACTGATTCTGAAAATTCCATTCATTTAGCCATCATCAGTGATTTTTTTCCAATATTCTAGCCTTCAACATTGGGAACCACCTGTCTTGTTACCACAAGAATTCTATCTTAAATCCTGTTAAGACAGATGTTTAACTGTTATTTCATAACACACTTTCCTCCTTAACATCACTGTGAGTTTTTGACATAGATTTAGTCACTTTCTAAAGTCATTTTCTACATACATATATACCTGCTCTTAAAAATGCTCTATCCTATCACCTCTATATAATCTCCATCAAGTCTTCTTTTCCCAAAGCCCCCTTCTGAGCCTATCCAAATGCTTTTTACTCACTTTTTTATGGGACATTCATCAAATTGACATCTTTTTACCAAAAATAGTGTCCTGAAGATAAACATAGGCAGCCCGGAATTACTAAATTACAGAAAGACTGAAAAGTTACTTTGTTGATAAAGAAAAGCAATATGGGGATATTTGTGTATGCATACAATACATATGTAGCATGCACTATTTTGGATGGATCATCTAAACTGTGGATTAACTATGGTTAAAAAAAATTTAAGAGATTTGAAATATATTAAAATTTCCACCAGTTAATGAAAACACCTACATTTTAAAAGCCATCTTATGTCTAGAACTACATAATAATTCCTTCTGTAAAAGCCAGATTGAATTTAAGATGTCCTGACTTCCTACAAACTCAGTTTAAGCTTCAGTTTATATTAAATTCATTCATACTATGCAATGAGTAATTTTGTATTAACTAATTAAAAGCTTCCTATAATCTCCTTCCCTCCCCTCTCATTACTGTAGTTAATCAAAGGTTAAAAACATATATATACAATGGCACAATATAATTGTAACCAGAATAAAAAAATTAATTAAACATCTTTAAATATATCACACATATTATAAAATATAAATTTGCTCTATTCATCTTGAAGAAACTAAAGATTTTTTTTACTTTTTTACTCTGTATGACTAAAATGCCAAAGCTACTTCTACTTTTTTACTTTGTATGACTAGAATGCCAAAGCTACTTCTACTTTAGCAAGAAAAGACATGAAGAAACATAAGCTATGACCAAAATTTTTAAAAGAAAGATTTTCTTAGCTCTTTACTTACAAAATTACATTTTTCTTCATACAAAAGTTGTTGGAGTTCTAAATGTATACACTAATAAAACCATTTTATGAAACATGTTTCTAAAGCACTTGATTCTATATTATCATATAATATATAAAAAAAATTCTTCAAAAAAAGTAAGCATTTATCAACTACTTCTTCTTGAAATGCTAAAAAGCTGGGAGGGATGAGTATCTCTGTGTTTCCTCTTGTGCACTCATATTCTATCTGAAATAGTATGGTTTATAAAATCTTACCTCTGCTGGATGCTGAATTATGTACAAATGGGTAGAGATGTGCAGAGGGTGTACTGGTAGAAATGGACACAAACATACTTTCTGAGGTCGGCTAAAGAGCAAAAAAGAAAACAACCTGTAAATTTGTAAAATATAATGATATGACGATATCCTAATACTTAAACATAATCCCACTATGTTATATAAAGAGGTTTGCTAAAGCTGTAGTCTTTTCAAAATGAAACACCAAGAATAAACTTAATTACTCAGTCTTTAGACATGAAAATTGGGAAGAGATTTACGTAAATTCTTTATCATTCATACAAATTAAAGTACCTCAAAGAGTCTTCTTAGTGAACGAATACTTTTAAGTCACCATGGACTTTTATTTATGAAGAAACACTTTTTCTAACTTTCACGCTAAATTTACCCTTAATGGCCTCAGTAAAAAGGTCCAATGAGACTAATTTTTTAAATAATAAATTGAACTGAAACATTATGGCCTTTTAAAATGTAGTTTTGAAAAATCTAAATAATTAAATATAACTCTATAGAAATCAAGTTATCTCAATATCTTAAAACCATTAATATTTACCAACTGTGCTCTAAAATTCTATTAAAAGTTGATTGTCTGAAGTTGGTTAAATTCTTAGCCCACACCACTAACACTGATTTAATCCACAAATCTCTGCAATATTTAGAACATTTTTAAGTACAGTATCTAAGCAGAACAATTCTGTTCATGCTGTAAAACATTCCTCTCTCCTCTTATTTACAAATTTCTCTTACTCCCAGAATTTTTGAATTCACTTTAATTATAGTCATATATATTTCCTTTATGCTTCTACTTATATTTCTATTTTAAAACTTGACTACCCTTATGATTTATTTTATTTTCATATATGCTTTTCTCTTTCAGACAATGAACCCTCTAAGAACATGCTTTTCATTTAAGTTTGTATCATCCAGGGTAGTCTTTCTCAAACTTCAGCTTATATCAGAATCACCTAGAGGGCACATTAGACTGCTGAGTCTCACACCTTTAGAGCTTCAAATACAGTAAGTCTGGGAATTTACATCTCTAATAAGTTCCTGGATGGTGCTGATGTTGCCTATGGGGGAAGAATAAGGTCATGAAAGACAAAAAGACCAGTTTGAAATGCAAGTCACTAGAGATGTCCACCCAAGTGAATTTTTTTTTAATTTAAGTAACTTTGAATTCATTCGTATCTAAATCCTTCCAACTTACCCATACATGCACCTGAGGACTGGCAAAGCCTAATAAATTTTTGTGAGCAGTAGTGAAAAGAAAAACAAACTACAAAGCTGTGGGCAAAGAAATTAACCAGACCATTTTCCTCTACATGAAAATATGACCTTCACTAATTAACTAGTTCTGTTACCCTGGCTATCTGACAACTGTATTGCTAAGCAACACTGTATGTGATTAAAATGATCCAACTGGTAGACAACATAGAATTATAAAGTGATGGGGATACCTTACTTTAAGCTTCCCTAAATTAGGACCCTAGAAATTTGCTAGAGAGTTACAGGAGATACTGGCTCCTAGAAAATAGCAATGTAGGTTCCCATTACTGATCAGTGTGGAAAATCATCTTCCAACTCATGGACCTCTATGCTAGACTGCCACAAGAGAAAAGAACCAAGGCTGCTCCAATGCAAGCTGTTGCTTTTGTCCTATATGTTATATTTCTGGCAACATATGTGATCTATAGTTTTGTTAAGCACCTGCTGCCAGGTGCTTTGCTTGGCATCCTATCCCAGATATCTACAGAGTTTAATGCATTTTGTGGTCTTTGCACCAATGCCCCTTTCTAAAATAGTGTCTCTTCTCCCACTATTACCCTCAATCTCTTTACCCTGATTTTTCTTCATAATGTTATCATTATTTGGCATTATATCATCAGGATGTATGTTCTCTTTCCTGCAATGTATGTTACAGGAGAACAAGAAATTGGCCTACCTTTCTCGCTGCTATATTCCTAGCATTAGTAGAGTAGGCTCTCAAAAACATTGTTGAACACAGGAAGGAATATCTCTACATTCCCTCTTACCTTCACATTGGGATGCATTTCTCCTACAACACAATTTCCTATCCTACACTTTTATTTTCTTCCATAACAAATTTTGATCTCTCTTCCATGTTCTCTATAGCACTTGCGCAATTAGTTTGTAATATAAATGAAATCCAGACTGTAAGGTTTCCCTATTATATTTTGTAATCATTTTAACAAGTGACAGTCTATAAGAGGCAAAATTATTTGCTGAAGAAAATATTTACTAAAGAAAAACACAAGCACTTTATGTGTAACAGTGTTAAATGTGATTTAAGCTAAAATTAATAGCTTTGGCTAATGTTTTGATATTTTCATAAAATATCATTACCTATTTTCTCTAAAGCATATCTCTTTTATTAACCTAATTTTAATTAAAATTACTATAATAAAATTATAATTCTTTAAAACACTTTATTTTTTCAACTAACTTCATATTTAGCAAGTTACTTTATAACCAGAACTTGTGCTTGTTACCTTAATATTAATCCTTCTCATGCTTTCCTCCTCTACATGCTCTGCATGCATTATCATAGTGAACAGGTCTCCAACTATTAAACCATCTCTTACTAAACTAGTAAATAAGTGCAGAGTAATTGCTAACCTCATTCTAGAATCTTTTTTCAAAGAACAAAAATATCACCCAACACCCAAACACAACTCAAAGTTTTAAATATTACAAATGGAAAACAGACTAAATGACTTTAAATGCAACAAATTTTTATTCTAATATTTACTATACATCTAACCACATGCCTGACATTAAGTGCTTGAGACAATAAGCAAAGACTCCTGCTATTATGGAGCTTATTTGTTCTCACTCTGCCAGAAAGAATTTTCTGAACACTCTTTGCCTCCTATGAACTATTATATTTGACAGGTAACTAACAATCACAAACTTCACACCTAAACAGACTATCAGTAAATAAAGAGCATTCATTCTAAAATAAAAATTAAGTTACTTCTAGGATTTCTATAGTTCTTTTTTTTTTTTTTTTTTTTACAATTTTCTATAGTTCTAAGGAGTTAAAAAGAAATCTAAAGAAACAAAAACTGGTCAGTAGATAGAGGGTTGATGAATAACTACCAAAATGTGTCACTGACAATGTCATTGTCTTGGGCATGTCCCACATTTCCAAAGTACTTCTTCATAAAACTACTAACAATGAGACACCAAGAACGTTCTAGGGAATAATTACTAAATACAAGCAAATATAAAAATGTAATCATCAATGTCTAGTTTTTGAGCTAATTTATAACAGAATGGCCAAAATAAGAACTGAGGTTTTCCATCCACTACATTTACAGGGTTATAAATGTATTTTAAATAATGTTTTTCTACTCACTAGAGTTTATGTTATTCAAAATCTATACAACACAATTAATGCTAATTATATTCTTAAAATATAATGGAAGCTTCAAACAATTTCCCTAAGGGAATTTTATAAAGTAAGTTTTTTTCTTCTTTTCTCATTAAATATGTAGAAATGAATAAGATTGACTTGCCTTGTACCCAATACAAGGGTAATCTGTCACTCTGAGCATGCACTCTATGACAGCCTGTGGGATAATAAAATTATATCTGACATACAACTAGAGATGCTGGGACCCACAAAATCATCTTTGTGGACTGGGGTTGTGGCTCAGTAGTAGAGTGCTTATCTATCATGTGTGAGGCACTGGGTTCAATTCTCAGCACCACTTATAAATAAATGAATAAAATGAAGGTCCATCAACAACTAAAAAATATATATATAAAATAAATCATCTTTGTAAAGCTTAAATTTCATACATAATATTCACTGAAAGATTTTTCCTCATAAGTACTGATTTTAGCCAAGATAATCTCACATAAACTTTAAAGATTAGTAATTAGATGCATAATTACTACTTTAAAGGATTTCTTTTATCCACTCAACAAAAGCAAATGTAGAACCCAGAAAAATAGTGCATCTCAAATTTTCCAGGATGCAATAAATTTTTATAATCCCAACAAAGTGAAAAGACAAAGAACAAAAAGTTGTATGCTTTTTCATTGGGTTAGTCGAATATCTACACTGCATTACACATAAAAATGGCAACAGCTTTCTATTTTTAATAGGCTTTGGAAAAGAAAATACCACAGTGCCCTCTGCTGTCTTTTAAAGAAACCAAGATGATCCTTAAGATAAATGCTAATTTTTAAATTTCTGAAATTACTTACTCATCATAACCAATGAAAAAAGAAAGATCTTCATAAATTGTTAATATAATATTATAATGAATTTTCACTTCACAAGTCAAAGAAAAGTAGGTAACATCTTCCATGTTTGACTGCTTCATGTAAAAATAACAATATACCACTCCCAATTTATTTTAAATTAGATTCATAAATTTATCTTACAACTGACTTCAGGAGTGAAGGAAAGACAGACTTAAAAGGAAAAAAAATCACTGTTGTAAAATAGGTAGTAATTTTATAACAACAATAAATATCTTTAGATGAGAGTTTCAGAGACCTGTGCCCTAGAAAGCATGACTAGAGCAGTGGAGAAATCAGCAAGATCATCTAAACTGTAGATTCATATCTTTCTGCTGCTAACAATGAATCTTACCCTAATTATATATAGTGCTTTTTTTATAACTTTATGTATTTATTTGTTTATTTATTTTTATGTGGTGCTGAGAATCAAAACCAGTGCTTTATGCCACTACCTTCACAGTGCTTTGAAGTCACTAAGAATAATAATAATAATAATAATAATAATACATAATACTATGATTATTTAGCACTTTAAATCATTTATTTCATCATCATTTATTCCTTCTTAGTATCTATTTTTTTATATAAGCCACATCATCAGTATGTAATAAATGCATGTAATTATAAATACAAGTATACATATTAGAAATGTAGCCTACTATTTTTATTCAATTGTGGTATGTCATCAAAATAATCTTTACTACTGGCCTGGAAATAAGCTTGTTCTTATACTGGATCTATAATTAAGGAAAGTTTCTGTGAGTGTTATTCTAATTAAAGAAATCTTCAGAGATG